TGTTAGCTTTGTGAAAATGGCCATTATTACTATTTAGTAGGTCCTGACCCAGATTTAAATAATGACTGCTTAGAGCCTCCTCGGAGGTGGCATTTTTCTGCCTAAAAAAGATTGTGGTGTTTCATGCCTTTGTTGGGGAGTCATGGTAATAAGCCCCCCCCCCCCGCCCAATGTTCTGTTAGGTATATCTTTTCTATACCATTAGAATTGTAGCAATTAATAATATACCCGTGATCCTAGCTGCTTAGTTCATTTACTGTTCTGGCTTATAGATAAATTGAAGATGAAGTAAAAATACTAAAGCAAGAGCCACTGTAAAGACATCATTTTAAAATGCTTGCCCTTATGTAGTCAAATTTGATTAACTACTAGAAAGTACTAGGGATGGAAATATGAGGAGTTATTTTGTTGCTATTACTATTATCATCATTCTTAGAAATGTCTCAACAACCAAAATTTCATGAAATTGTGATACAGCAGTTTATCTTTTTCTTTTAAGTTTATTTATTTATTGTGAACATGAGCCGGAGAGAGGGAGAACGAGAAACTTAAGCAGGATCCATACGCAGTGCAAAGTCTGACATGGGGCTCAGTCCCACAACCCTGGTGGCTCATTACCTGAGCTGAAATCAAGAGTTGGACAATAAGCTGACTCAGCCACCCAGGGGCCCCTATCTTTTTTTATATAACAACAGTAAGTCACCTATCATTTAACTCACCCACTAAATGGGTACAATGCACTGTTTTTCAGTATGTTCACAGCTTTGTAAACATCACCACAGTCACTTTTAGAACATTTTCATCATCCCAAAAAGAAACCCGCATACCCCTTAGCAGTCCCCTCCCATTTTTCCCAACTCCTCCAGCCATAGTAACAACTCATCTGCTTTCTGTGCATTACTCTGTTCTGGATAGCTCATAATGCAGTCAGTTTCCCTTCATGCCTAGTTTCATTCACTTAGGTTATATTTTCAAGGTTCATCCATGTTGTAGCATGAATCAGTACTTTACTCCTTTAATGGCTGAGTCACTTCTGTACCTAGACCACATTTTGTTCATCTGTTCAACAGTTGATGGACATGTACATTGTTCCACTTTTCATCTGTTATAAATAATGCCGTTATAAACATTTGTACATAAGTTTTGTGTTCTCATTTTTCTTGAGTACATACCTAGGTACGAGTGGATTTGCTATGTCTGTGTTAACTCTATATTTAAACTTTTGCGGACCTGCCAGATTGTTTTCCAAAGTAGCTATGCCATTTTGCATTCCTAGAAGCAGTGAGTGAGGGTTCTGTTTTCTCCACATCCTCGCCAACACTTGTTATTATCTGTCCTTTTTATTATAACTATCCAAGCAGGTGTGAAGTGGTGTTTGCCTCTTCCTGACAGCTAATGATGTTGAGCCACTTTCCATCTGCTATTGGCCATTTGTAGATCTTCTTTGGAGAAAATGTCTATTGACATCCTTTGTCCATTTAAAAAGTTGGATTATTTATGTTTTTATTAATAACTTGTAAGAGTTCTTTACATATTCAAGATACAAGTTCCTTCTTAGATACATAATTTGTAAATACTTCTCCATTCTTTGTGTTGTCTTTCCACTTTCTTGGTGGTTATAGCTGTATACCTTGTAATGTACTTATCCTTCAGGGTATTATGCCTTATATGCTGTTCCACTGTCTGGGTCAGCTCCTCTTTCCATAGCTTCCTGGTACATTTCTCCATTAGAGCAGAGAGCATAGTGTGTTGATGCTATCCACTTAGGATCTGTATTTCCTACCAGAAGGAGTTGTGTCTTAGAAATCCTCATAAGTGTTGTTATGCCCTGCCTAACACAAAATCGCTCAATAATGGCTTGATGAACTATAAATTAAAATGAAGCTTGACTCTCAAAAATAAATTATCCAGATCAATACTAATATAAAAAAAGCTAATAGAAAGTGTTCTAAAAGATCATCTTTAAAGAATCTGCACGTGGGTAGGAAGCTGTAATCCCTTCTACAGAAATAAGGCTTACACTTTTTCTAGAAATCACAGCTTACTGTGCTACTTTCACCAATTCCAGCCCTAATGGTTCTTTGGTACCTTGCATGACAGTGGTGCTACATCCTGTAGCCATCTGCGGTCCCAATGCAAGGACTGATATGGTGTGGGGCACAGTGCATCACTACCGGCTTCTTTGATATGTTCTGAGCAGCGGACCAAAATGTATATGACTATTATATTTTACTCATTTATTTATACTCTTAAATTCGTCAGTGCCATTTCATGTTAGATCACATCTAGTGAGGTCATATGAAGAAAGCCATACCGCATGTGCTGGGAGGTGGCCTACTCAAACATTGTGCTACATTGTGGCTCTGTATGGTGTAAGGAACCCAAAGGTTTTTTCTTTCTAATAAGACATTTCTTATGGTAGTACTTGTGTATTGATTTTTTTTTTCTTACTGTCTTTTTTGTGATCATTTCCTCATTTGTCTCCAACTTGTCTAAATTAAAGAGATGATCAAATGAATTCCCCTCCAGATTTTAGAGCATATTTTATTTTCTCAAAACCATACCCTAGATTCTGGCCCTTCACCTTTTCCTTATCGAAAATGCTGCTAGTGTCCTGTTTTGATGAGGAAATTACTAACGATATGAAATAACTGTTACTCCCAGCAAAAAGAGGATGAGGGTTTTAACTGTTTAAATACAGTCCTCCTCAAAATTCCCTGGCTCTTGATTTTAAACCCTGAAGGAAGCAAGCAAGAGAAAAATCTAAGAATGAGGCTGAGGAAGGAACCCCACAGAATTTTTGTGTAGTTCTATTGAGGTCTGTACTCTTAGCCACTTTTTTTTTCTTATTTGGCAGCAAAGCAGCTTAAAAGAAAAAAAGAAAACCCAGTTGACAGCATAAGACGATTTATTTTTCTCTTAACACAGCAAGATGTGCTAAAATTACCAAATCTGAAAAAGGCGTACTGAGATTCCTGAATGAAAAATCCCCCCCACCTTTGATTTCTTTCTTCTTCATGAGACAAAAATAGTTATGCATTTGTGGGGGAAAGAGTTTGGTAGACACGGTGATTATAACACTGTATTGAAAAACACTTACTTTGATTGACTAAAAAAAAGCTGCTGTTCATGGTAGTTAGAAGCCTGTAATAATGTTTTCACTCTGGTGTTCACCACACTTCTATGAGATTAGTAATAGGAACCCCCAATCTAGAGGTGAAGAAACCAAGACAGGACACCGAATGCTTCCTGTGGAGCACCTGGGTGGCCTTGTCAGTTAAGCGTCAGACTCTTGATTTCAGCTCAGGTCATGATCTCACAGTTTGTGAGTTCAAGCCCTGCATTAGGGCCTGTGCTGGTGGTGTGGAGCCTGCTTGGAACTCTCTCTCTCTCTCTCTCTCTCTCTCTCTCTCTCTCTCTCTCTCTCAAAATAAAAAAATAAAGAAAAAAAGAAATGCATCCTGTGGCTTCCCAGTCCTCCGCCTAAAGCCTTGTTGCCTAGAACGTGACATTATTGAGGGCCTTGTTTCATAGTTATTGTATCTTTTTTTGCCAGGAGAAAGTATTTAATCTCCTTAAACCTCAGTTTCTTCTTTTTAAAATGAGGATAATACTTGTACCTACTTCAATAGGGTATAGATTAGTCTTTGATTATTGCTAGCCATTATTAAATTGAGCAAGTTTCCTGACACCCCGTTCAGAACTTGACCAGCCTGCTGATTAAACTTGAGCTTGATTAAACATGACCAAATGTATGCATACATATTGTGAACTCAGTCTTTCGCTATTGAAGAAGGATAAATTAGAAAGGGATTGAGGAGGTGTTATTAGGACATTGATTTCTTTCTTTTCTTTTTTTTTTAAAGATTTTATTTTCAAGTAATCTCTACAACCAGTGTGGGACTTGAACTCACAACTCTGCGATCAAGAGTTGCATGCTCCACCTACTGAGCCAGCCAAGTGTCCCTGGGCATATTTTTGTATTCTGTTAACTTTATTCATCTTTCCCAGAGTCAGTAAGTATTCGCTGAAAGTGAGGGCTTTTAGGGAATACTCACTGACTCTGGAAAAGATGAATAAAGTTTTCCGGTATGAGTATTCTTGCCTGGAGGTTAGCGCTGGGCCTCGGACAAAAACAAGTCAGAGTTATTGCTGTATCTCATTTTCTAAAACACACAGGTTCCATCATTACAGTCATTTACAGATAGTTTTGCATGACACACCTTTGCTTTTGTGTTTTTTCCCCTCAGTCAGTAAAAGACTAACGTTCATCTTCCCAATGTATTAAAATCATCAGAGGATTCTTTTCAGGATTATAAGTGTCAGTAGAGCTGTTAGTTTGAACACTGTGTAAAAACTGAAGGCCAAGTGAAGACCCTTTGATGTTGTGAATAGAATAATAAAGTGGAATCTGAGGATTCCATTTATGAATGGATTATTTGAATATACAAGGAAATTATTTTTAGGCAGAGCATCTCTATAAACCCAGAAGCTATGTGTTTTACAAACTAGAAGTTTATACACTAAATAAAAATTACCAGATGTCAGTGTCTGATGTGCTTGCCAACTGGCACATATTTGGTGGTTCAGAAATCTGGAAGAAATGATGCTCACATCTTTGCCTTTCAAATTTGAAAGGGATAGTTGAGGTAAAATGCTGTTGAAAAAATTACAATGCACTTAGCTACCCAAAGATGTCACATGTTATCAATTGTTATCTTAAAGGCCTTAATTTATTTGCCCTCATGACCATGCTCTTTTGCGGCATTGCAAATGTAACCCATATTTCTATCCTCATTTATTACATTCTTTCCTGGGACTTGGCCCATTCTTTTAAAGGGTCAGCAGATTATGTAAAGAACCGATCTGGATCTAGCAGTCTCATAAAGGTCCAAGACAGAGCGAAACGTAAAATAGGATTTGTTACTTTCGTCTCACATGTACCCACACGCCTCAGTAGTTTTCACAAAATCGTCAAATAGATTCTCTTCTTTCCTTAGAAATCAGAGCTCAGCTGGTAGAGCAACAAAAATGCCTGGAGCAGCAAACAGAGATGCGAGTTCAACTTCTCCAGGACCTCCAGGATTTCTTCCGGAAAAAAGCTGAAATTGAGACGGAATATTCTCGGAACCTAGAGAAGTTAGCAGAAAGGTTCATGGCAAAAACAAGAAGCACCAAGGATCATCAGCAGTACAAGTAAGAGAGATTTGACTCAAATTCATCTTTCCAAGGTGATACCCTACCTTCTCACCACCCTTCTTGGTTTTGGAATGTTCCATCTTCGGCGGATAAGCTGTCGATCTGAATATCCTCACAGATGAAAGCAACTCTCTGCATTTATAATTTGTGAGCACCAGTGTATTACATTTTTAAATCTCTCAACATTTTTTTCTTTCTAATAAATATTTATTTGTGAAGGACTTTATATATAAGAAGAAAAGGTGTGTGTTTATAAAATGCCTGCTTACAGAAAAATGGGAGTTGGTGTCTACCCTGGAAGATATTTCAGTAGGCACATTTATGATGGCTGCTTCTCCGAGCAAGGACCTCAGGGTTTCTGTAGTGATTTTGTCTGAAAATGAGCAGTAAGGGGTGCTTGTGTTTAGCTCCCCACCCCCAATCATGTTTGTGATCACTGCACTTGAGACTGACTTTAAACTCAGGGTTTTTAGTAAAATATTTATGACCAAGTATAATTAAACCTTGAATTAATTGTACTTCATTTGTTTAAAAAATACATACAGCTTTTCTCATAGTGAAATTTACTTTGTAATTTAGATCCTAGAGGCAGAAAAAGAGCAGTAGGCAACTTTAATAGAGTATATATGAACTATGACATTGCTAAGTGCAGGATGCCATGGAGAGATCCGATGGAAATCCATTTTATAGTGGAGGTGGGGAAGGGAAGGCCAAGGAAAGGCTGTGGAAAAAGTGATATGTAAGTGCAGACATGAAGGACTAGTTGGCAAGTTGAGGGAACCAGAGCAGATGTTCCAGCAAGGGGAACATCCTGTATCAGGGAGCAGACGGAAAGGGAGCAAGGCAGTTGTGTGGAACAGAAGGAGTCAAGTGGGAGCAAGTAGGGAGATGGTAAGCTGTGTCATGCAGAGACAGGAGGAGGGGGAGAAGGGAAGGCAGCAGAGGCGAGGTGCTGGCAGGAGGCAGAGGAAGAGAATTCCCAGTTTTAAATCTTGTTGGCTCAGACAGAGGAGCGGATGCCATGTTTTTTCCCTTCCACCACCAAGTGGAAATATTCAATCCACAGGTATAAATTGTACCAGATCCAGGAGGCCTGTAGGTCACACTTCACAGCTTGAACTTTGTCCTGACTACATGAGAAGCATTTGGAGAGTTCTAAGTAGAAGAGTGAACCAACTCAGACCTGCATTATAAGATGATGACAAAGACCCCGGGTAGGACTGTAGACTGGAAGAAGCCACAGGAGAGGGAGGAGAGCACGTAGGGGGTGCTCACTAGCAATACAGCAGGCAGAAAGAAAGAGATTTGTTTAGAAGGTATTTAAAGGGCAGCACTGTCTTTACTTTCTGGAAATATAGTAGGCTAGGCAATCTGAAAAGTATTTCTGCTATGAAACTTCCAGAAATGCTGATTAAAATATAATGGACATCACTATAAATGTGTGACTGAACTCATAGGAAAGTAAGGGAAACTTCCAGGGGCCAAAAGAGGAAGAGGGGACTGTAAACTCAAAGGGACAGTTACAGCCACCCTTAAGTCCCATGTGGGGCAGACGATGAAGCGTGTGCAAGGTAGAGAGGTGGAACAGAGGGCCTCCCCACTACCAACCCTATTGCATTGCGCTCCAGCCTAAAATCCCAACCAGCGGAAGTACTATTTGTACGTTGGTAAAGCAGAAAACCCCCCTACCTCCTTGCAGCAACACAGGGTCCAGTCTGCTCAGGCTGAGCTCCAGACTAGAGGAGGCTGCAGAGAACCTGTCTTTGTTTTCACTGTTGGCTTTGCAGCACAATTCTTGATAGGGGGAAAAAATTTTGTTTCTGATGGCTAATCTCTAGTGTTGGTCCAGTGTAGAAATAAATCTTAGTGATGATTCCCAGGGTGGACAAATGTCAAACGTACTTGACAGAGACTAGAACTGGAAAGGGACTGGACCCAGTACTGAATTCACAGTAACTGTCCCTTTTTAAAGTGATTACAAACAAGAAGACAGCCCATTCATCCAATCAGTAAATATTTTTGAACATCTTCTGTGTTCCATGCTTGGTAATCGGTTGTGCTGAAAACCTGTATGGACCAAGGCACCTTAGTCTGATCCCTTAGTAGTTCAGCTGCCCCTTTTTTCTTTCTCCTGGTTTGTCCACATGTTTTTTGTCAAGAGGTAAACAGTTTGGAATTTTCTTTGATTTGGGCTCATTGAATTTGGGACTGAAGATAAGTCTACAGAAGGGCCAAACGAGGCGTAGGAAGAAACTCAAAGCCTTTATGAAAGCATCAAACAGACCTGGTTTGAATATTGGCTTTCCTGTGCGACTCTGGTCAAGTTGTTTAACCTTTCTGGGCCTTGGCTTCCTAACTTGTAAAATGAGATTTGATGACCATTAAATAAGAAACATGACAAAGTCCTTGATGTGATTGATAGCCTGCATGAGTTATGCACTCTGTGTCCCTTCTTCTCTTCACCAAACAAATGTTAAATCTTTGGCAGTTCTCAGCTTTGGGATGCTCATTGTGTAGAACAGCCCTTAACTTAAGTTTGCCACTGACAGAAGACCAAGGCTTAGATCAGCCTTCCTGGACTCAAAGACTCTGATACTAGTTTGGTCTTCAGCAAATCGCTAAGCTTCACCTCTCTCACTGATAGAGGGCATACAAAGAATTTCTGCCTTAAACTGTAGTGGTAAGGATTATGTAGAGTTAATGTGTGTCAAGTCTTTAGACCAGCCAGCCACTAGATAAAAATAGCTAACTTTGTAGCTAACTTTGTTTAGCACTTATCGTGGATCTAAGGCATTATAGTAAGCATTAAAAACTATATATTAACTGAAATCATCCTCATAATAATCTTACAAGTACTGTTGTTTTACCTACTCTACAAATGAAGTTACAGAGGCATAGAGAAGTTGAGATAATTTGGCCAAGATCACATAGCTAGTAAATATAGTTCTGGGATTTGAACTTGGACAGAATAGATTAATATTCTATGCTCTTGTGTAGTATTTCTTGTAGCAGGTGCTCAGCAAATGATAGCTGCTATTACTGTCATTGTATATTATTGTCTCTTACTATTAAGGCAATAATGCATGTTTATTCAGCGAGTGAAAAATCATTTATTTAATGCTTAACCTGGGCAGGACACTCAGGATACAAAAATATAGGAAACGTTCTCAAAGTAGGAAATGTCAAAGTAGGAAATGTTCTCAGAGAATTTATGGGTTATTTCAGCATAAAGGATATACATAAAAGTTAATATATTAATGTAACATTTACCTCTTAGGCTGGCTAGATAGAGACTGTCAATAGAAAGGCCTGTATTGTCTGCCACAGATGCAGTGTCTCTTGATTGATGACTTTGATTAAAAAAAAAAAAAAAGGGGTGTAATTCTAGTGTGCCAGGGGGCTTTTCTAGTGGGTACCAATCCTAGGACCCTGGAACAGAGGATTTTCCCCTTCAACTGTTTCTACTTCCATCTGATACTTGTACTTTCTTCCACAGAGGATTTGGATTTGATTTAGTGTCAGATCTTGAATCTGAGGAACTTAGGGGCAGAAAGAGTTGACTTAATGATTTCTTTCCTAACATAATTAATGTTCAGAATCATAAGTGATTGTGAATAATAAGGTAGCATGTCCAGTACAAATGGCACTAGTGGCCCTACGTAGGATAAACATTCTTATGCCTTCTTTGTCATTTTTCAGTTAGACTTAAACTAAAGTCTAACTTTAAACTAAAGACCACTGTCTTTTTTTTCTTTTCTGAAGCCAGTTGGTTACCATTTTTTGTTTGGAGGTATCCTTTAAGATTTTTTTTCCAAGTTGTCTTGTGGTTTATATTCACTTTTAGCTTTATTCTCTAGACTAAAACAAGGTGTCGTTACAAATCTGAAATAGTTTAATGACAGGTCATAAGGCAGTAAACCTCTTGGTTCTATTCCTGAGCCTTCAGACAATGTTGTAAAGCTGTGATTCCCAGGAACACTTCTTGGGAAGCTGGAGTTTATATATCAGGGGATTAATGAATAATCCTCGAATGTATGTCCCATGGAAAGCATACCTAGCCAAATCTCTTTTCCAGCAGCAGACTGGACATTCAAAGCAGACTTTGTAAGCAGTGGCAAACCACAGTCAGTCTGTGAGACAGTAGTCAATAGACTTTTATGTAAATATCAACTACTTTCTTCAATGGATGTTGAAAGCTGAAAGCCTGCCTGAGTACTGTGTGTGTTAGGGTCCCATGGCCCTTGTCAGGAGTGTGGGTTTGACTGGTGTTCTTGGTCCAAGTTTTTTCTTCCAGGCCTAGGGAATTGCTGGCTTTCCGCCATCACAGCCTGGAAGGCTGATGTGCTGGCTCTCGAGTAGCCCAATGAGCAATGCCCAGAGTAGGAAGAAGAGCAATAATACCCATCTGTTGTGGCTCCTGCTTCACCTTGGTGACTTCCCCCAGCTGGTTGGGGCAGCTTTCAAATCGAGGGTAATTCTGTTTTTCTTCACTTCTCAGGAAAGACCAGAATTTGCTGTCTCCAGTGAACTGCTGGTATTTGCTTCTGAACCAAGTGAGAAGAGAAAGCAAAGACCATGCAACTTTGAGTGACATCTATCTGAACAATGTGATTATGCGTTTCATGCAGATAAGTGAGGATTCCACCAGGATGTTTAAAAAGGTACATTCCATCAATCCTGCCATAATGTGGTTTCCTGTAAGCACAACTGGGAAGGGTCTGGTGCCTTCATTACTTAATTGTACTCTGTTAAGTTTTAGCTACAAAAATAAAAGGAGGAATATTTTAAATACACAGAACAAAAAGTTTGACCTGAGCAGGCATGCTCACAGAGTTGTAAATCAGTGACTCTGTGAGCAAAATTTTGAAATGAGATGTACGTGCGGACTGTACCTCTGTCCTTAGGAACGCATTGGCTGTAGTTAGGAAAAACCGGACCAGAGAGGAAAAGCCTTAAATTCTGTGTTTTGGGCCCACACATGATCAGACACTTCTGAAAAATGAGATAACCAGATGTGCTGCTCTCTTGGAAAAATGTGACTATGATTTTTTTCTTGCTCTCACCAGACTAGCAGCGGAGGCGCTGAGAGGGTGACATGAAGAAAATTCCACAGGGCACAGAAAACTCAGTCTCTTATATGCCAGAGAGCTTCCTCCTTCCCAAATCCATTTTAAAAATAGGAGCTGGGCTTTTAAGCCTTCTTATCGTTGTTACTACTCTCAGCCAGCTCTCAGTAATTTTATTTTTGTTGAGAACAATAACAAGATTGGACCATATCCTGTGTAGAGAATGCAGCTACTTGCCCAATGAGAGGAGCTTTCAGTTTTTATATTTATAGGACAACAGTTCTCCCCACCTCTCCTCAGCTTTGTGCTAGTGGTGTTTGGTGCCTATTCTGATATCTGTACTCTATTCAGCAAGTAAGTATTAGTTTCAGAAAGTGGGGGAAAAGAACCCCCTTGTAGATTAATGACATATTTATGTTTCAAAGGGGCCCTTGAAAACAAAGATGTAGTGTTAGGCAGGCCAGCTGGAAAGCCTCTTAGCCATGTTTCATGTATCCACATTAGGTTCTATGTCTGACCTAGAAATGGAGTTTAGCAGACTCCAGGTCCTCTTCTGCTCTATGAAATAGGGGGGGTGTGTGGAAAGTGTTTCAAACAAAGTAGGATCTTTAAAAAAATCTTGGAAGAACATATTAAGAAATCAGGTAGAGAAATACCCAGTGTGTCTTAAAAAATCAGATATCTGAAAAATAGTTTAGATGGAGCCATGAAAGTAAAGTAATTTTCTAGAAGTCAGCCCTTTCAGCCAAGGTCTCATTTAATTCACTGAGTTTTTTGTTGTTGTTGTTTGGTTGGTTTTTTGGGTTTTTTGTTTTTTGTTTTGTTTGAGCATCTTCTGTGAGGAGGAGTTGGTGTTAGGTCTTGGGAAGGCTGCATGGAGGAAGAAAACACAGTGCTCCTGCTCAAGAAGGTGGTGCTATTTGATGCTTCCAGTCACAGGAAGGCTGCCACCATTCAGCCAGGGTGTCGGCGGCCAGCACCCCAGCCGAATTAATTTATTTGTCTATTCAACAAAATTTCATTAAAATGCCTGAGGAGGCAGAGTTCAAAGACACATCTCTGACTGCATGGAACTCATTACAGTAATTAACAGTCGCCACGCTAAAGGGGCTTACAACCCACTGTGGGAGCTTGAAGCTGGAGATCTTCACCTTACTGAGGGGTCAAGGAACGTCTTCACGAGGGGGGGGGGGGGGGGGGGGGGGGGGGGGGGGGGGGTATTTGGAGTGGGACCTGCTGGAGAAGGAGGTGTTCATCACACAGACAAAGACTCTTGTCCCAGGGAAAGCAGTAACATGACACGTTCAGGGGAAGGAAAGAGTTTGAGGTCCCTCGGCCAGGTTGTATGTAACTTAACAGTCATTATGATTACAAGTATTGAATGTTCCCTTTCTCACGCAGCACTAGCACACTGCACAGCCCACCTTTCCATGCATATTATTACTGGAAAAAGAAAGAACAAGAGGCAGAAGGCAAAAGGGACAGATTGGAACTTACTGAGAAGCCGGATCAGCCCAATGGGACACATTTGTCATCTCACAGGAGGCTTAACCCATGCCTATTAAGTCCAGGCAACTTTAGGTTCCTTTAGATTAAAAAGCAAGACTAATCTTTTCTGCTCTCCTCCTACCCCTTTTTTTTTTTTTTTTTTTAATTTTTTTTTTTATTTCTAGAGAGAGAGAGAGCATGAGCAGGGGAGGGTCAGAGAGAGAGGGAGTCACAGACTGAAACAGGCTCCAGGCTCTGAGCTAGCTGTCAGCACAAAGCCCGACGCGGGGCTCGAACCCACGAACCGCGAGATCATGACCTAAGCGAAAGTCGGACGCTTAACCGACTAAGCCACCCAGGCGCCCCTCCCCCTACCCTTTTTATTCTTATTTGATTACCAAACCTTTCTCTTCGATCTAGCTCCTCTTCCATTCTTAAAGTTCCAGAAGCTTATTTTCTGTCAGAATGGAGAGAAATCCTCAGACCCAGTCTGAAGTGACCTTTAGGACTATTATGGAGTCCTTCGCACAATGCCTGTCTTTCTTGGGAGAGGATTTTGAGACTTCTTCATTTTTCAAAAATATCCCCAAGTCTGTATGGAGATCCAGAGAGATACTGGGTGCTTGACAGGTTCAGCCCCTTACAAAGCTGTATTGTGTTCAGTTTAGGTGGTGGTAGAAAATCCTTTTACCCAAACTGTTCAAATAGAGTTTGGAGCAGGTAATTCTAGGAATGTGTTTGTGCCCAAGTGGACATAATAATCAGGAAGACACTTATAAGAATATCTAATTCCAGAGGCTCCTCGTTGGCTCAGTTGGTTAAGTAATGGCCAACTTTGGCTCAGGTCATGACCTCATGGTTCATGAGTTCAAGCCCTGTGTTGGGCTCTGTGCTTACAGCTCAGAGACTGGAGCTTGCTTCAGATTCAGTGTCTCCCTCTCTCTCTGTCCTTCCCCTTCACATTGTTTCTCTGTCTCTGAAAAAATGAATAAATGTTAAAAAAAAGTTTTTTTAAGTATCTAATTCCACACATAGGTATAGGGAACAGCTTTAAAACTTAAACTTTAATCACATCAGAACCAGTAATGGTTTTCTACAAGTAGAAAAAGTAAAGTAAAAAACAACAGGACCCAGTTACTCAAATGTTGATTCGATTTATGCCTTTAGAACTCTAAATGAATCCTGTTTGTCAGAATAACAGTAATTCATATTTTAGGCTCTGAAATCCAGTATTTGGGGTATGCGTCTTGGCTTTATCACTGTCAGTAGCCGTGCGGACTTGGGAGTAATTGTAAACCTTTTAGGCCTCACTTTCTGCATCTATAAAGTCGATGTGTAACATTTCAGATCATTGTATGGAGGGCTCATGAGTCATCATGAAAAGCCACTTAGCCCAGTTGTCTGGACTCCAGAAGTCCTAGGTAATTTTTAGCTATTATCTTTATTATTGTCTGTATTGTAAACACTCATTCTGTACCATTATACTAAATGTTTCCTCAAGCCATTATACTAAATCTGTCCTCATTTAAGGAGAATATATGGCACAACTGTGATAAACACGTCCAAATCGTTACACTGGCATTTCCCTTATTATGAAGTTCTAGACCATATTTGTAAGCACTCTGGGAAATGTCCTCCCAGTTCCTTGCTTGTAGCCGAATTAAAATTTTGGTTCTCACATTTCAACAGTTAGTGGGAAATCAGGGAATAACCCAAGGAATACCTGTGTTGGCCAACTCCCCCCTCCCCATGCCTCTGAGGTCCCCCATAGCTGTTTCACATGGAGAGTTAGGACTTTGAGGCTTCATTGATTTCTTCATTCATTCAACAATAAGAGTTACTCAATTCCAGACCTTCTGTTAGATATGGACAGGGTAGGACTCTGCTTTTACTCTCTTAACGTCTGCTTTACCTAGAAGGTCAGGAATCGGAGCCTCCTTGTGCACATGGGTTTGTTTCATTATCGGCCCCTGTTTCTTTCCCAGAGAACAAGAGGTGGTCAGGTGTCTCTTGCCCCATTCTCCAGCCCTGCCTCCCGAAGTGATGAGGCTCTGCCGCCTTGTTGCCATTACTCATGCCGAAAGAGAGTGTCCTGCATCGGGCCTGGGGCTGCAGTCAGAAAATGTGCAGTTCATATGCTACACATAAAAATGTAATTAACGTCAGCGGTCATAATTGCAGGAAAGTACACAGCCAGCTTGCAGCAGTCACTTTATTTAAGCACCTTATCACATGATCTTACTTCTCAAATTTACGATTGTTAATAGAAGTATGTAGTTTAGAGGGAGCACAGCAAAATGGTAGCAGTTGCCGCTGCTAAATTATCTTTGTGAATTTTAAATTATCTTCAAGGCTATCATTTCCCCGTGGATTGTTTTCAGATTATTAATGTTTTTATCCTTCCTTAGTTTGCATAAATATGCATACAGGTATGTTTATTTCTTCAGTAACAACATCTGTACACTGCCACTTAGGGAATTTTAACTGTACACCAAGCACTATGCTCTGTGTTTTTCACACATTAGCTCATGCATCCTTGCAGCTGCCCAGTTAACAGGTATTATAATCCACATTTCAGGGAGGAGGAAATAAAAGACTCAGAGATATAAATTGCAGAGCCAGGCTAGTGGGTATATAGTTTGTCTTTGCCTGCATGTCGTAATTCATAGTTACGATGACTCTGTCACTGTTTTTCTGTGGTAACTGGAGATGTTTTTCATTGCATAGGTCGGACAGTTCTTAGAATGGGACCCTAGGGTCTTGGCTCTCTCCATTTCTTATGAAAATCCTGAAGAATGACAATTCTGGATGAGGCAGCAAAATCTGTCAGCCACCCAGCTATAGGTGGGGATTCAAAACAGCAGAGACTGGTCGGAGGCCACTGAAAATTACTCCACTTTGGCATAAATGCCAGAGGTTATCAGATTCAAACTGGGAATTAACCCAGTTTTGATGTATTGATTGTGTGGCCCAATCTGAAAGGAAGGAGACATTATTAGTGAAATTTGTAATCATACTCATTTGTGATTAAGGCCAGTCATACTCTACTTAAATACCCCAGCATGAAAAGAAAGAAAACAAAATCATTTCTTAGGGGGAAAAATGTG